GAGCGCAAGCCATCAGTGAGCTGCGAAGCCTGGTTGTCCAGCGAGATGAGCGAGTCCATGTAGCCAGGCTTGCCAAAGATACGCTGCGTCGATAGGTGCGAGACCTGTCCATTGCCGCCGGCCGTCGCCTCTGCCGCGCGCGCGAGGCCCACGTCGGCGAGGTAGCCGTTGCCGCGCTCGTCGAGCAAGATGTTGCCCGCCGAGACGTCGCGGTGCAGGATCATGGGAGAGAGCGTGTGCAAGTAGTGCAGCGCGCTCGCTGCGTCGCGCAGCACGCGGAGCCGTGCGGCGGAGGAGAGCGGCGGAGGCGGCGTCTCGAAGCCGAGCATGCGGAGCCGCTGCAGCGCGGCTGGAGCGCGATAGAGGCGGTCCTCGAGGCTGCCGCCGCGGCAGAGGGGGTAGACGAGGCACGCTCTCGCCGGTGCCAAGCAGACGCCGAGGAGAGGGAGCAAGGACCGTTGGCATGCCGCGCTGAGCGTGCGCACCTCGCTCTGCAGCTCGGCGAGGCCTTGGGCGCCGACACCGACCAGCGCCGTCTTGACGGCGAACCCGCAAGCGACGCGCGGAAGCGACGGCAGCGCGTCGCAGCGGTAGACGCGCCCGAAGCCGCCCTCGCCCACCTTGCGCGCCTCGGCAAAGCCGTCGGTCGCCGCGATGAGCTCGTCGAGAGGGACGGCGGCGGGCGGCGCGGCGGCGGCGGCGAGGGCGGCGACACTCGCAACCGCCTCCACTGCCGCTGTCGCCGCCGCTGCCGCCGCCTCTTGAGCCTCCGCCGCCGCCACGGCCGCCACTGCCGACTCTACAGCCGCCGCCTCCGCCTCCGCCTCCGCCCTCATCCTCGCCTCCTCCCTCTCCCTTGCCACCTCCTCCCTTGCCCTCGCCTCTGCCTCCTCCCTTGCGCGCGACGCCGCCTCCGCCTCCTCCGCCGCCCGCGCCGCCGCAACCTCTGCTACCACCCGATCCGCTTCCTCCGCCACTCGCGCCTCCTCAGCCGCCCGCGCCTCCTCCGCCTGCTCCGCCGCCCGCTCCGCCGCCCGCGCTGCCGCCGCCGCCGCCTTCTCCTCCTTCTGCCGCTGCCGCTTCAGCGCCCTGGCCTCGCGGACCTTACGCTCCGCCAGCTCGTCGCGCAGCCGCCGCGCCGCCCGCAGCGCCTCTGAGCCGTCGGCGGCTTCGGTGTTTGCGTTGATCGCCGCCCTGAGCGCCTCGAGATCGGCGTCGCCTCGCTCGCACGCCTCAACCGCCTCGCGCAGCGCCACCTCGGCAGCATCGCGCGCCTCCGCCGCCGCCTCCGCCGCTGCCGCCTCGCGTGCGGCCGCCGCGGCCTGTTCGGCTGATTCTGCGACCGCCGTCTCCCCCTCAGCCTCTGCTACGGTCGACGAGTGCTCCTCGAGGGCGCGCAAGCACTCGGCGTGGCCCTCCTCCTTGGCCCACCAAAGCACCGTCTTGCCGTCAAAGGTAGGCGTCGTGTCTGCGCCCGCCCGCAGCAAGCGCCGCACGACAGCGGGGTGGCCTTGGGCGGCGGCGGCCATCAGCGCGGTGATGCCGTTGCTGTCCTGCTGGTTGACCTCCGCGCAGTGCCGCAGCAGCAGGTCGACCAACCGCTCGTGGCCTTTGAAGGCGGCGTACATCAGCGCGGTGGCGCCGATGCTGTCCTGCAGGTTGACGTCAGCGCCGTGCCGCAACAGCAGCTCGACCACCCGCTCGTGGCCGCTGGCGGCGCTTATCAGCGCGGTGCCGCCTTCGCTGTTCTGCAGGTTGACCTCCGCGCCGTGCCGTATCAGCAGCTCGACCACCCGCTCGTGGCCGTTGTCGGCGGCGGCCATCAGCGCGTCCCAACCGTCGCTGTTCTGCAGGTTGACCTCCGCGCCGTGCTGCAGCAGCAGCTCGACCACCCGCTCGCGGCCTTCCTGGGCGGCGGCCATCAGCGCGGTGGCGCCGTTGTTGCTCTTCAGGTCGATCTTCGCGCCGTGGTG